GTCAACATGCTCTGCAAGGTATACAGATGCTTCCCTGGCCCCGTTCTCCTGACCTGTCACCAATCGAACATGTGTGGGATGTGATTGGATGCTGTTTGCAGCCTCTGCCCCTGCCTCGTTCAGAAGATGAACTGTGGAAAATGGTTGAAAGGGAATGGAGAGCCATCCCTCAGCCATCCACACTCTTATTGACTTTATGCCTAGACGTGTTTCTTTGTGCATCACTGTCCATGGTGGTCCTACATCCTACAGAGCTGATGCTGTTCTTGCTCTGTATTCTGACTATCACTTTGAAATAAAGATCACTTATTGCTGCTTGCTGTCTTTTTTCCAAATTTCATCACTTTCTGACCACTCTTTTTCGGTGTTGCATTTTCAATGTCGAGCAGTGTATTTAAAAAATAAAATCTGTACATTTATACTTTTATTGGGAATAAAGCAAAATTGTGGCTATTTGGAATAAAGTAAAGTGGTTTGACGCTATATAATCTAGTCTCTATTTTTACATTGTGTTTTAAAACGTAGACTAAAATATACACATTTCCTTTGAGTAATTAAAATAAATTAAAAATAACTTTGTGTCTGTTATATTGCTTACAATTGTATTTCTTATAACAAGATGCAAAGAAAACATTTTATCATCATTTTCAAGTACACTTATAACAGCTAAATCTTCACCAGATCCATCTGAGCCCATGCTTGGAACATTGTTGTAAAGCAAATAAGGAATAAAAGATTTTGATTTCTTGATTTTAATTATGTTGCAGATTTTTATGTATCAACATAATTATAATTTTCAATGTGTGCAACCTCCATGTTGTATTGCTAAATACATTTATATGGATATCTAAGCAGAATATTATACATTAAGTACATTGGCAAATTTTATCTTAAATTTTATATTATTTGAAATGTTTTGGTGTTTTCTATAGTTTCGACTTATAAAATTTTGACTGTAGGCCAGTGGCGGCTCGTAATGAGCACTGTGGAACTGCAGCACCCCCTATTTCCACTTATTATTATTTTTAATATTTAATATAGTGGGCCCTTTAGTCTTTAATTCTTTCTTTATACTTCTGCAATACATAATCCTTAACCTTAATGTCAGTAGCTATCCCCCACTTTCTGAAAAAGGTACGAAAGTCTTTGTTTGGAACTGCGGGCTTCACATTTCCAGCAAGGTGGTGTTTGGCTGTTCTGCGCATGTGCACACAGAAAGCAGCACGTGAGCCGGGTAGAGAGAAGAGCACTGTCGCTCTTGCAGTGCCGAAATTCTGGCATGTTGCTGAAAACGTGATTTATTTTTACTCCGTGCGTGTGGTATTCCTCCACAAGGTGGAACTTCATCATACGAACCATAAACAGAGTTCATGAAAATTTGCAAATTTTAAAAAATTGCCTTACTGAAATTCAGTTAACATCAAATGCAGATCAAACTATTGAGATTTTTTTATCAGATACCTCATGCTGAAATAATATACAACTAAATGCAATCCAGAGAAATTAGTGTGTTTAAAGTTTTCAAAACTGCTATTTTAGAATTAAGAAACTCAAAGTACTGTAAGAATTTTTCAAAGACACTGATGGCAGAAGCTAAGGAAATATGTGACTTTATACTGTGTATTGATATAATGCACATATATTCTTCCACTAAACACTTAGCAGCTGCTAAATTGTTTAACAAGAAATGCTTGGTTTTAGGAATGAACATTCTACAGAAGAAATAGTACTGACCATTGAAGCATATCCAATGATTGGAAAAGAAAAGCTTGAAACTGAACTAAAAGTATTTTATTGTAGGTCTGATATCCATGAATACTGCAAATTAATTGAGCTACTGAAATAGATGATGTTCTTAGTGAAATTACAAAACTGATAAAATTTCTCTTGAGAGTTTCCATGACTACATCAGAGGCAGAACGCTGCTTTTCAACATTGAAAAGAATGAAAACGTTTCTAAGAAGCACTACGAATTCGGAAAGACTAAATGCGCTTGCATTGCTTTCAATACAGAAAAATTTCGTCACTTGTCATCCAGAGATCAAGGAGAAAATTATTGATCTTTTCGTGCAAATAAAAACAAGAGGAATGGATTTCATTTTTAAATGACTAGACAAAGATTGAACTGTAATAATTTTGGTTAAAGTAATTAAATGTTCAATTTTTTTCTTGTAAGATTTCATGAAGTTTCAAAATAAATTTTCTTTTTATACATGTTTGTTTCCTTTTCATAATTTTAAAACAAATATTAAATTTTTTTTTGGAACAGCACCCCCACTAATTTTAGCCACAAACCGCCACTGCTGTTGGCAGAGAAAGAAACATTAGTTAAAGGGCATGAAAATTCCAAAGAACATCTGCTATAATAAACATAGCTTAAAGATGCAACTTGAAGGCAAGATACTGCCCGCCATGAAATTTAAAGAAAGTTATGTTCCTCTCATTAAATAATGAAGAGTTGTCCATATGAATGTCCATATGTACATGTTCCTTGCATTATGGAAAAATTCCTCAGAGCATCTGCACCTCAAAGCCCAAATTTTGAAATTTTTTATTAATTTCATATTTTGTATGAATTTTCATCTTCCACACACTGGTGTGCTACAGTTCAAAACTGATTAACAAACTAAGTGATTTAAAAGCAAAAAATAAGAAATATTCACCTCTATCACTCTTAATTACTAGCTGAACACATGAAATGACACTAGATGGACTTATTAAAAATCATTTCAAATACATTAACAAATTGAGCTTTGAAAAGCTATAAAGGCAGTTCTTCACTTCTATTATTATTAATTACTAACTGGAAAAGTGAAATTACACTAATTGGACTCATTACAATCATTATATACATTTTTTCTTCTTTATAATATTTATTTTAGACAGCTAGCTGCACAAATGGCTAATAAACCAAATGATACATTTATTAAGTAGATTTTCATAAACATGAGTAAAATATACTTATTAAATAAAAAATAAATATATAAAATACTTATTATAAATTATAAAAAATACTTATTAAAGTCTAGCTAGAGAATCAGAAGATAAAATATTCTAAAAGACAGACATATTTCATTAGAGACACATTCTTATAGAGAGCTGTTTGATACTGTGAAATATGTTCATCTTAAAAACATACCAATTTTCTCTACTTTTTTCTCACCAGGTGATGTTAGTTATCTATCCAAGGAGGAAATTTAGAAACATTTTTTCCTAATTTACATTAAGCTAAATGATTGCAACAATGAGCAAAATATTCATTAAACCAACCAACTTAACATATTTTTTCCTAATAATGTTCCTGCATGATGTTCTAAGTTTCTATTTATCATATACAGTGTCAATAAAAGTATTTTTGATAGTCTCATAATTTTTCTTTCTTTTTTTTTCTTAATATTTTAAATGAAGATGTCTTTTTTCCCCTACAAAACTGGTTAGAATGGGGTTATACCACTTGTTCTCTGAATTCCCCTCATAATAACATTAAAAATATATTCTTCTGAAGTCCTTTTTGAAATATAGTTTAGTTTCCTTTTAAAACAATAAAAAATAAACAAAGAAAAAATAACTTCTCCTAATCTAATTGCATATACAGTCAAAAGTCGTTAATTCGGACACCTATAATCCGGACCTCAAAGCTAAAAACTTTCTGCGCATAGGCGTTTACGCGTGCGCATAAGACTTTTACGACTGCGCATATGCATGTGCACAAGCGCAGAATACGTTTTCACGTGTGCGTTTAATGTATAACGGATGGTATAAGCTAAAATTATCTAACTATCTATTTCAGTTAATGTTGATGATTGCGTTGTTCCTTAATCTTCGAATTGGATCGAATTATTATTTTTTATTATTTTTTGCAGACTGTAAGAGCAATTTTATAACAGTAAACTTGAACTTTCGATTATGTCAAATAGAATTTCCGATGCTGGAACTTCCAAAGGATCTACAAAACGAAAGTATGTTTCGATGTCCAACAAAAAAAAAGTGGAATTGCTGCAAAAAAATGGAAAAGACATGAAGAAAGTGACAGAGAGGTTAGTAAAAACAAAAAAAATTGATTGACAAGTTAGTCGGTATTATCGGCACAAGCAATTAACAGGACTTGAACAGCAGAACTTTGTAACTGAACAAGAAATTATGTCTGTTTATAGAATTAAAGAGAAAGTACTATCACATAAATGAAGCAACTTAAACAAACTTACATTGAAAGAAATGTTTAATAAAGTAAACAAATAAATATTAAGCTTTTTTTTTTTTTTTTTTTGTAAATTTTGATACCCTTTACTTATAACTGTTTTTTTATTCACATAAATTTATGGTTTTATTTTTTAATTTTAGAATTTCTGCATGCCATCTTACGAGATTTAACTTGATGCTAACCAACACCGCGAAGTCCTGACAAATCCGGACAAAACGAACTGGACTTTAATTAGATAATTAGATTTTAGCTATTATGTTTATAATTTCGTTAAACGTAAAGGTACGCATATGTGTGCATGCGTAGACGCATATGCGCATGCATAAAGGTATTATGTGCATGTGTTAACGCATGCGCAGAAAGTTTGTAGCTTTGAGGTCCGGATTATAGACTTTTGACTGTAATTAAATAATGCAATCAAATTCAATACTTTTTACTGAACAAATTGATTGATGAATTCAACATGTTATCACTAAGCAGTGAGAGGTTCATATCAAAATGTTCCAGCTTTTCATTAACTATTTGGGAATACATTAAAATTAGTCTTAACATTTTTCTTATTATATGTGCATTTCTGCCTTGAAAAATAAATATAAAGTTCATCACTCTTTTAGGCATAAAAGTAAAATTACTCCTGCTAAGCACTATATTGGCCTCCATGTAATTTATACAGCGACATTTTCATTAGTAACACTTAAAAATCACTCACAAAAAACTCCAACACCTTTTTATCAACCTGCTGATTTCTTCAAAATTCATGAATTGAGACTTTAAGGTTTATTGAAAGTATCACATTAAATAAAGAAGTAGCAGCACTTTAATTTCCAATGCAAATATTTACAGTATAAAGACAGACATATACTCCTCTAAAAATCAAAGTTTTGATCATATACAAAATGAGAATTCTGCATGAAAAACACATAGAAATTAACCTGCATAAAGATAAATAATGAAAACAGTGACATTTAAGCTTGTGCCATTGTTGCATCAATCTGCTTAATCCAGGGTACAAGAAGCATAATTTTTTTACGATACATTGGATCCTTTTCGACTGGATTATGCTCAAGGTATACAGTTTCCAACTTTTCAAAAGTTTTCAGAACTTCCAGACATTCCCATGAGTCAATTTCATTATCATTGAACTGAAAATGATGGAAAAAAATTACATACACATATGGATTATTAAAACTACACATGGATTTTTGCAGAATCTTTAAATAAACACATGCAATAAGAATTTAATAATCTCTTTAAAAAAGATGAAATTTTAAAGCACCTTTTAATGGAATCATGCTGAATTATAAGCACAATTTATTATATTACTTATCTTACAAAATTATTCAGGGCATCAAAAAATAAAACACAGTTCAAATTAAAAACATTTAAAATTTTTAGCTCCTTTATGACCTGGATAACATACTGAGTTATGTAAAATGCATTTAAATAATTTTAAAAAAATTACCCAGAATTCTTCTAGATCAATTAGATGTTCAACATTTGCAATTTTCTTTATTTTATTACTGGTCATGTCAAGAGTTTTCAATTTCGCCTGCAACAAGATACAACATTTACATTATTTGAAAAGTTTCAAAAAGTATACATCTTTGATATAAAACTAAATACTTCTATTTCATCATTTGATAAATACCATATTTGCCGGTGTATAAGACGCACTTTGAAAATAGGTCTGAAAAATGGGGTGCATCTTATACGTTGATACTACATCTTATGCGTCAATACTCAGTTTTTTATTACATTCATTTCTGGAAATTTCCTGTATTCGGAGTTATGCGATTTTTTTTCTTGTTTCCTTGCAGAGTGCGAGAATATTACAGGTACATAGAGTTCAGTGAATGCATATGCATTATCATAGACTATCACAGCTAAGTTTGTTTAAACTTTCCAATTTTCATGAATGACTTAAGTGTGTGAAATTTCTACTGTTCAATTTTCTTAAATTTGTTAGCAAGTTATGGCTTAAAAACAATGCCGGCATTGCTATAACACAGCATACAAGCTATGTGTGATTACATATGCTAAAGAACACGAAAACAGAGCTGCAAAGAGGCATTTTGGGCCACCCTCAACTGAGAAAATGATATGAACTTGGTGGAATCAGGAAGAGAATCTAAAAACAGCAACTCGTACATTTAGGTATTTGCTGAAAGTATTACTTTGTATTTGTATTACTTTATATTTAAAATACTATAAATTCTTTATAATGATCACTAATAAAGTTTTATCCTTCAAAAATGTATATAAAAAAGGGTTATGTCTTATAGGTCGGCAAAGACGGTAAATTTTTTTTTGTCTCCTTATAAATTTATTTTAATTTCTAGCCCTCAATCTGCATTAGAAAGTCATTCGCCCCCCAGAAAAAGAGACACAAGTTCTCAAAATTTTCATATGAATGTAATATAATAAATTCTCATTCATATGTTTCTGCTGGGGTCAAGCATATGAAAAATGATAAATAAAATTTGAACTAGATTCTATCCTCGAAAAATGTTAAATACTTCTATGTGCATGCATAAGAAAATAAAAATAATAAAGGAGATAAATACTTATGATTGAAGCATATTCGAATTTTATTGACTTAATTTTCAGTATTTAAAATTTTCTAGGAATGGATTTGGCTTGCACAATTTGGACTTGGAGTAGATTTGGCTAACACATAAATTAATTTCCATTTAAAATAGTTTTATAATCATGATTAAAATACTGGTTATTTTTATTAAGTATTTTTATAAACTAAAAAATTCAACAATTAATTGCTTTTTAAATAGCATATCTTAGATTTTCTGAAGGGAACAGCACAAATTCCATATTTCATTATTATTAATATCATTTTCATATTCTCATTGCAAGTTAAAATGAATTAAATCCTTATTATTAAAAATGAAGAATCTGTATGTATACTAGTTTCCAGAAGTTCACCAACATATGGAAAACTGATAATAACTCAAAAAGAATGCAAGCAAATTGGACAAAACCTGGTGATAATAGTCATTACACCATTTCTAACTTAAAAACAGAAGAAAATGTTATACAGAATATTTGCATTTTGTGGTATGAAGAGGAACGTAAATTCTTCGAAATTCAGACATACAAATTAAATACAAAATAATTTCTCAATAGTGAATATGATCACACTGAAAAGCAGTATGGACTTGATAACGATATCTCACGCTGTTTATTATGTTGTCAATGAATTGCAAGGATAGCAATGCTCACTGATCTCATAAAGCAGTTCTAAGCCTGTCTAGGATTTGGGGAAGGGGTTGGAGCCTAGCAACATGCCTCTCAGCCTAGCAGCATTCCACACATGCTCAACATATTATAAGGTATTTCTACCACCTTCTTAGCATGTCTCAGTGGTGCAATGGTCAGCACGCTCAACGTGAATTCGAGAGGTCCGTGGTGGAACAATCAACATTTAGCCATCTTTTAATTCTTAGCCTACCTTTAATAGACCTTTGAAAGGCAGAGCTATAAGTTAGAAATGGATTCACTATCAGCTTACTGTAACGTCAAAATTGTTTAACACAAGGTGTGACACAAAAAAGAGAGACTGGTCCAATAAATCATTGTATTTACAGAATCAGTTCTCCATGACATTATCACCTTCAAAGTAGTCCAGCATCCTTCAGCGTTCACACACTTCTGCATTTGGTGCTGCCATTGCTGGTAACAGTTCTGGAATGAGGTTTTTGGAAGGCCCTTCAGGAGATTCTCCATTTTTGCCAGAACCTCTTCAACTGAGGTAAAATGAGTTCCCTTTACACAAGATTTCACTTCAGCAAATAAAAAAAAAGTTGCATGGAACCAAATCAGATGAATAAGGAAGATATCCCATGACAGTAATGTTTTTGCTGGTTAGATTTGCTTGACAGATAGGGCCGTGTGAGTGGGTGCACTGTCCTGGTGCAACAGCCATCCATCACTTCCCAACTGTGGCTATTTTTTCCCTAATTTTTTCACAAAGTCTTTTTAGTACTTCAATGTAGTAGTGTTGATTAACAGTCCACTGGGAACCCACTCAATCATTACAATTCCATTAACGTCGAAGAAGACAATTAACGTTGCCTCGAACTTTCATGCCTTGACGTTCATCATCTTCCACACTGTCCCTTGCCCCTGAAACCGCTTATGCCATTCAAACACATGTGCAGGAGACAAAGTTTCATCTCCATAAGCCTCAGTTAACATTTGAAATGTTTCTGTGGCTGATTTTTTAAGTTTCACAAGAAACTTGATGTTGATTCGCTGTTCGGTTTTTTACATTAGTCATTTTTCTGGCAGAATGCAGTTGCACATGCTCACTCAATGACACAGTCCTTCCAAATGGTGTGATAAGTTAAGTCAAAACTGGCCACATGGATAGAGGAGATGTGTGGCATGATGCTACCAAAACAGTTGTTGCCAACTCCACTCTTTTTTTCAAGCTACACAGTCTTTTTTTTTTTTTTTGTGTGTGTGTGTCACACCTCATATACTGCCATTTATTAAATTGAGACATGTGCTCCTTGTAGCCCAAATTTTAAATTCTTTTTTATTTACTTTATGTTTTGTGAAAAGTTGAAGAATTGTTTTTCAACAAAGTAAGCTGTATAAAAAGAGTATGTTTCTGCTGAACAAAATAAAACATTTTTATCTTCTGGTTACCATTTGAAAAAGTACAAGAACCATTCGTAACAAACTTCAACTCATCAACAAACTCAGTGATTTAAAATAAGTGTTCCCAATGCCAAGAATAAAATATTTTTATCTTCTATTTGCTAATGTGTTGCCATTCAGCAAAGCATAAGATATTCAACCCAAAAATTTAGACTGTCTGTTATTGATTAACAAATAAAGTGATTTATAAATTCATGTTATATATATAATTAAAAACAATAACTATTTTGATGAAATTACATACAATGATGAAATTACTTGCTAAAAGCATTAAACAATTTTTTCTTTTTTGTAATAACAGTTTTAGGTGGCTAACATTATAAATGTTAAGAGTGTTAAGTAAGTCTATAATACATTTTCTTGTTATAAAAAAATCAGTAAAAGACTTATCAGGGCCAATAATTAAGTTACTTAAACATAATGCACATATTCACATAAAATTACACATACAAATATAAAAGTAATTATCTTATTAAAACACTGTACATGTGAGCTGTAGATGGAACAATCTCTACGTATATGTTCACATTTTCAACATATGTAACAAGTTTTCACATGCTCTTTGCAGTCTTAAGCAATGTGACCACTTCTTCCACAACTATAGCTTTCATTGCAATTCATTATCTTTCTCAATATTTCTTTCTTTGGAGGAGTTGGGAGTAGGTTCTTTTCCTGATTGAAATATATCTAAATAAGGACTCAACAATTCATTTAATTATGATCTTAATTCAATGGACAGTTGTTTAGCAATTTGCATTAAGGCAAAATATAAACATTTGAGATATATTTCTATATCTTTTCTGTTGTTCTGTTTTCAATAACTTCAAAACAAAATTTAAGATTTGTCCAACATATATCGATTGCATTTGCATTTATTTTTGCTGCTTCGAACTGAAACTTGCATAAAAGAAAATACTTCAGCTTTAAATAAATTGTCATTCAATTATTATTTATATAAAATGTCAAAGTAGCAGGTATTACCACAAAATTCCACATTTGAATTTAACCAGTATTTGCTTAATTGAGTTTACAATAACAAATTTATTATACTTGATATACACTCATGTTTGTGAAAATTGCAACATCATGAAGGACTTACGCGAGTGAGCTGAAATTTTCAGGAAATGCAAAGTAGCGCATGATATGCAAATGATTAGAATTGCAAATCCGTAGCGCATGCGTATGCTGAGCAGCGCCCTCTGAACGGCTGATGGATCCGAATAAAATAGACGGCTGTGTAGCGAGGCGTGTATGGTTATCGGTGGTTATCTGCTAGTGGTAAACGTTAACTCAATCTGTACTTATGCCTCGTCGACAAAAGAGAGCGAGATTTGAACAACTTACAGAGTTTGAAACGAGGGAGAATCATCGGGCCTTCGTGAAGCTGGATTGTCGTATCGTGCAGTAGCCTCTCGTGTGCAGCGTAAAACAGCAGCACAGTGATGCGCGCGTTTGGAAGCAGTGGACGGACGAGTGTCGGACAACTCAGAAATCCGGGAGTGGACCCCGAAATGTGACGTCAGCTCGCGATGATGATGATAGACACCTGGTCCGCATGGCGCGGACGGACCGTACAGCTTCCTCTAGACAATTGGCAGCACTGTGGTCAATAGCTGCAGGTGTTTCATTGTGTGCTTTCATCAATTCGTAGACGTCTGCTGCAGTGTGGACTGCGCGCACGGACTCCTTTATACAGGATCCCCCTAACGCACGCACGACCATTGCCGCCTGCGGCTACAATGGGCCAATCAGCATAGAGACTGGCATGCTGATTGGCAGCATGTCGTGTTTTCTGACGAATCCCCGCTTTAATTTGTGGTACCATGATGACCGCATTCGTGTCAGACGCTATGCCGGTGAACGCCACCTTCC